TACTATTATGGATGCTAATCATTTTTACATTATGTCTTGGCTCTAGAATTCTTGTGTATTATGAAAACTGTAGAACGATAGTGAATAAGAGTCAATTCATATGGCCAGCAGAAATTTTGTTTGACATAGAAAGTCACCCTGACAAAGTGTTATCTGATAGCTCATTTTTATTAGTGTGAAAAATCCTAGCTACAGAACCACTTCTGCAAGATTTCCACTAATCTAAAGAAAGGCAAGAGTGTTATTATTGTCATAGTTATAAAAAATCTACTCATTCATATATATATAGAGAGAGAACAGAATAGAATAACTTTATTGTCATTGTATATTGTACAATGACAATAAACATATCACAAAAAACAGCACATCCATCCCTCCACACTCCAGCCACCACTGCACAGCCTCCAATGCCATATCAGTGCAAAACCATGGAGTTCAATATAGGTAGAGCTCTAGGTTAAAAGCGATCTCTCAGTCTGTTTGTCCTTCTCTTTGTCACCCTGTACCGTCTGCCAGATGGCTATATATATTTGTTATTCGTTATTGATTCGTATTTAAATTAGCTTACGATCCAATATCGAGCCATGCAGGAATAGTGTGAGGAGTAATTAAGAATCGAAACAATTTTTCCAATTTTCGTAATTATTTCGTAATTATTTCGTAATTATTTTCGTATGTCTGGTGCAAGTTTTACAAACTCGCATTTACCCCACTTCCGGTCCCTTTGCTCTGCTGCTTCCCTCCTCTTTCCTCATGCTTCTTCTTGCCTCACGCTGGGCTGCACTGGGCTACCTTCCTTCCTTCTTTCCTTCCTTCCTTCCAGCTGGCAAATCCCACATTCCCCCCTCCCTCCTCTTTCTCCTGGCATTTTTCTTGCCCAAAATTTCTCATTACTTTATTTTTCATACCCTCACTCTATGCCACAGCAATGCATTGCCAGGTACAGCTAGTATATAATATAATATAATATAATATAATATAATATAATATAATATACAATTATATATTATATTATATTATTATAATACTATTATATTATAGTATTGTATATTATATTATATTATAATATTATATATTATATTACTATATTATTATTATAATTATATTATAATATAATATATATAAAATATATAATATATAATATTATAATATATATAATATAATATAATATAATATAATATAATAAATTATTATATTATTTATATATATATAATAATTAATATAATATAATAATATAATTAATAATTATATAATATAATATAACAATATAATAATAATATAATATAATATAATATAATATAATATATATAATATTATAATAATATAATATAATATATTGTTGTTAGTTTTATCACACCAACAGTCAACAACAGAGGGAGAGGGAAGCTTCAGAAGTTCCCCCTGTCCCATTTGGAGGTTTTTTTAGCATATTGCGCAATCGCGTCCGCCATTAACGAATCGATTCGTAATTTACGAAATTTCGGAAATTTTGAAATTTTGAAATCTTAAATTTCGGAAGTCCTCAGAATTTCGAAACGCTAGAGCACCCTAGAAACGAAACGAGTTTAGAACCAATTTTTTTCTTGATCGCCCAAGCCTATATATATATATATATATATATATATATATATATATATATGCTGGGTGAGATGAATCCTTAACAATGCTCTGAGCTATAGCGCTCCAGCTGGAGGTAGAATTGGAAGAGGCATGAATGGAGGGCGAAAGAGAGAGAGAAACTTGCCAAGAGGAAGGTGCATCAAGCCAACCCCGACTGGGACCGCCTTCCACCTGGAAACCGATGCCCTCACTGCAGGAGAACATTCAGGTCAAGAATAGGGCTCCACAGTCATCTACGGACCCACTGCCAGTACAACGATCTTGTGGGACAATCTTACTCAGACAACGAGGGATAGCCTAAGTAGTAAATATATATATATATATATATATATATATATATATATATATATATATATATATATGCATATATACACACATTTATGTGTGTGTCTGTGTGTGTATTGTGCTTTTGATTTTTCTCAATGTACACGTGAAACAGGCTGTCATAATCTCCACTTAATAAAAGAAGTCCTCATAATTTTTTCTCTGCAATCACTCAACAAGAACGTAAGAAGAGTTGCACTGGATCACAACCAAGTGCATTTGGTTTCCACTATAGCCAACCATAATACAGTACTATTATAAGAAGCCAACATGTAGGACATTGTCACCTTTCTCTTTAACCTCCCAGTAATGGATAGTCAGAGTTTCAAGGCTATATATTACGGGAGGTAATATATAGCTATCATGACCGGACACCATTAATGCCCTTATCCTCCATGAATATGTCTAATCAGCTTTTAAAGGCCATCATTGCACCATATGGAAATAAATCCCACCATTTAATTATGTGCTGTGTGAAGAAGTACTTCCTTTTCTGTATCCTAAATCTCTGGCTATTGAGATACATATATATGAATTCAGGACTCCCCCCCCTCCCCCCCCCATCTTACATTACTTCAAACTTGCATTTGTCCCTATAATCCTCATTTGTCCCATCTGAAGAGCTATTTATTATCTCTGGAAATCATCTGAAGTAATTTCATCTGAAGTAATTTCATCTGAAGTAATTTAGCAAAATCTGTTCACTACACTACTCATTCCTAATCTCAGATCATTTCTGACAAAGAACCAATCCAAACACAAGGAGTTGTTGTATGTTTTTCGGGCTGTATGGCCATATTCTAGAAGCATTCTCTCCTGATGTTTTGCCTGCATGTATGGCAGGCATCCTCAGAGGTAGTGAGGTCTGAGGATGCAGGTGAAATGTCAGGAGAGAATGCTTCTAGAACATGGCCATACAGCCTGAAAAACCTACAACCACCCAGTGATTCCGGCCATGAAACCTTTCGACAATACAGTGTTCAAGGAAACATTCATAGAGATACCAAGACGCTTGTTTATAAAGCTATTGTCCTCCCAACTTTATTGTACACCTGCAAAACATGGACCATTTACAAACGTCATTCTCAAATTATAGAATGATCGCATTAGTATTGTCTTCAAAAAAATCCTACAAATCTCTTGGCAAGATAGGCAGACAAACCTCAGTGTTCTAAAAGACCGCCAGTATCAAAGCAATGATTCTCCACCATCAACTTCACTGGACCGGCCACTCCGCACAAATTACTCTCATCTCAAGAACGGAAAATGGAATGTCGGTGGACAGCAAAAGAGATTTAAAGATGGACTTAAAACTAACCTTAAAAAATGTGGATTATACACAGAGGACTGGGAAGCCCTGGCCCGCAAGCATTCTAATTGGAGGTCAGCTGTTACCATAGTGCTATGGATTTTGAAAAAGTAGAAATACAGGGCAAAAGAAAGAAATGTGCCAAGGATAGCATGTCAAGGAAATCCTTGTTTGGATTGCCTTCCACCTGGAAATGTATCTCCTCACCACTGTGAAAGACCATGTGGATCCAGAATAGGTCTCCACAGTCACTTACCACCCCACCATCCAGACTCTACCCTTGAAAGACAATCATACACAGCCGCGAGTGATAGCCTATGATGGTAGCACCAGTTCTTGTAGCCCTTCAATTTGATAACTTTTCATATACTGCAATCATCTGCTTCATATTTTGTAACCAGGGATCAGTTCCTTACCACTACATCACATGCCCAAACTTACCTGTCATAGGGCGTTTTCAGCAGAGTTCGGGGACAGAGCCTGCCAGATCCCATCAAATGATGCACAGCTACTTCCAGTGGGGCTGAACTGTGCTGAAAGTGTCCTATGATGGAACAACAAGAACACAGGAGGTTTCCCGTATTCTCCTTGCCAGCAATGGGGACACCATGCGGGGGAGAGCCAGGCAGCAATGCTTTCCCTTGTGTGATGGGGAAGGCATCACTCTGGACGATGCGAGGCCATGGATTTCCCCCACTGCCCAAGGATTCACCACAATTTCCAGCGAATCCCTTCGGTTGACCCCCGTATTGGGGTAATGTGATGAGGTCCTAGAGAATCTGTCCTCTTACATAACTGCCTGATTTGCTCCAAATCTTTGACTTTCTCAAAAGTTTTTTGAAATTCAGGTATAAAATGTCTCGTGAAATCTTCTCTTTCCACATCCTTTTGACTTACCTTTATAGAACATACCTTTAAAGGGTCTATTTTGAATCTTCCTCATTAGGATTGTTTCTGTAATTTAATAATTTTATCTATAAAGGAACTTCTCCCAAAAGGACTCAGAACAAATATTATGCTAACCTGTTTTTAATTTCTTCAGAACTTCTTGGATCTCTTTCTATAATTTGGTGTTAAATTGGCCACTTTCCAGTCTTCTGGTACAAAATCTGATTCTAACAATATGTGTCACATTGCTGGAAGAAGACTAGTAATTTCAGTATCTGTTTTATACTCTGTTGTACTCTGGAATACATACCTTTAGATGTGGCAACTTTTTTGTTATTGATCTGTCAAAAAGTTGTAGAATTTAATTTTTTGTTGCTTATATTTTCCAAGATTTTGCAGACTCACTCCTGGAAAATTAGTATGAGCTCTATATCTTCTGTGGTGAAGACAGAATGTTTTTTGGTCATCATCTCTGCAACATCCCTTTAGTATGTATTTGATTTTTTTTGCTATCAAATGGTTGAACTGGGATGCATCTACATTGTAAAATTAATGAAGTTTGACACCATTTTAACTGCCATGGTTCAATGCTATGGAATCCTGGGGACTGAGGTTTGGTGAGGTACCCATGCCCTTTTGCTAAATACATAATACATAAAAATATACTAATCTGCAACTTCCTGGATTCCGTAGCATTGATCCATTATAGTTAAAGTGACGTCAAACTGCATTAATCCTACAGTCTGGATGCACTCTTACTTCCCTAACCAGTTTTCTACTTTTTTTTTTGCTGTTTATTTTGGTTTTGGCATTATTGCGATCAACAAAACAAAATTAAAACCAACATCCAAAACACCAACAAAATATAATATTATGTTTTATTATATTTAATTGGAGCCCCCAGTGGTGCAATGGGTTAAACCCTTGTTCTGGCAGGACTGCTGACTGAAAGGTCGGTGGTTCAAATCCAGGATCAGGGTGAGCTCTTGTCTGTCAGCTTCTCATGCGGGGCATGAGAGAAGCCTCCCACAGGATGGTAAAACATTCAGGCATTCCCTGGGCAATGTCCTTGCAGACGTGCAGTTTCTCAAGTCGCTCCTGGCATGGAAAAAATGTATAATTGATATTCAGTATTTATAACAATGGTGTTTTACTATCAGAGTTAGCTGTGCTTTAATACTGCAGTTTTGTGTTTTTATTCATATCAGTTTTTTAATCTTTTTTAAACCGCTTAGAGTCGCCTTGTTGGCTGATATAGGCGGTATACAAAAGGAGTAAATAAATAAATAAATAATAAATAATCTGGCTGAGAACCATCTGAAGTTCTTGTTTGAAGATATAGATTTGAAATAAATTAAAGAAACAAATACTTAACAATGTACTCCTCAAACTCTTTCTCTCTGACCCATGGGTTTGATTCCGCAAACAATAAAAATGTGTCTGGCATAGCATTTTTTTGGTCCATATTTTGAACCACAAGCAACCCTATTGACGCCACACATATTGTCGTGAGATTCCCGTAACTGGCCACACATTTACCCCTGGTGAGCTTATCTTGCTGTTAACAGACAGTCCACATTTCCAGTCCTTTGCATTATTTTCAGCCTGACAGCAATCTCTGTCCTGTCCCACCCCCTATCATGCATATGAATATTTTCTGTTATGCAAAAGGTGTGTTTCTGTAAAACTGTGGAGTAAAAGGCAAGGTTTCTTGAACCAGATTAAAGCTCAAAGAACTGCATCATTCTGGACATCATGTGTTGGTGAGTATGGTTTTTTTAGACCATGAGGACAGGCCCACTCTTTCTCTGTGGTGTTTCATATTGTCTGGTTTTGTGTCTTTTGTGAAAGATGATGATCCTTTTCACTCTCATTTAACCAAGACTTAATTCCTTTCCCCAAAGGTAACCTATTTTAATGACTTCCTTGACTTTTCACATTAAGCATACTAGTGATCACTCAGACTTTGTGATACTTGCCTGACCCCTATGCCTATAAACATATCTAAAATGTAGAGTTACATGACAAAAGGACTGAGGTTATTTCTCATGTAGTTACAATGGTAATATAATCTCCATAATGTGATGGCCTCGATGACTGAAAAAAGGACCTAGCTACCAACCCCCCCCCCCCTAATTATTTGTTACTAATTACTTCTAAGCTCGGGGTCTTTTCTAAGGCTATTTTAAACTAAACTATTTGACACATCTCTGTTGTATAAGCATTTATTTTCTTGTTTTCCATCTCTTGTTCAAACTGACCTGTAGAAGGAATGAAATGCAAATACAAATATATAACTATTTTCCCCAAGAGTTCTATCAATTGCTCTCTAATAGACTGGATAAAAGCATGTTCCAGTCAAGACAAACAGTCAAAATCTATAGACACCTTGAATAACTGCAAAGCATGAACAACTGCAAGAAGAAGGAAAGGATTTATTGTTCCCCTTTCTGATAGAGATGTGGGAGATCAAAGATTGTACCCAGTTTCTTCATTGCCTGGAAGAGAAGTTGCAAGGTCAAATCTTCCCATCCAAGACTGGAGTTTCCTCGTCATTCTTGGGAGATCTAAAATATCTTCAAGCCACACTGCCCTCATATATGTTATGGTAACATTTCTAATGCTTATCAGTGACTATAAGAACCTTGCTACAACAGATTACAACTTGAAATAGTACAGTTCAGCCTTTCCATCCATGGGACCGGATCTACAGTTTCGTTTATCCACATCCAACCATTGTCATCCTCCCTAGGCATTTTCTAGGCCGCTTCTACGCTGCCATGCAAAATCCAGATGGTCTGCTTTGAACTAGATTATATGTCAGTGTAGATACATATAATCCAGTTCAAAGCAGATAATGTAGATTATCTGCTTTGATAATCTGGATTATATGTCAGTGTAGAAGGGGCCCTAGCTTCACCTCTGTGACTTGAGTATTCTTGGGTTAGGTGTCCTTCATTTCAATAAGGATCACCTTTATCTGCGGTATTGCATATCCACATGAAGTCCAGGGGTCTTAGGTAAAGGTAAAGGTTTTCCCCTGACATTAAGTCCAGTCGTGTCTGACTCTGGGGTGTGGTACTCATCTCCATTTCTAAGCCGAAGAGCCGGCGTTGTCCGTAGACACCTCCAAGGTCATGTGGCTGGCATGACTGCATGGAGTGCCGTTACCTTTTTGCCGGAGCAGAACCTATTGATCTACTCACATTTGCATGTTTTCAAAATGCTAGGTTGGCAGAAGCTGGGGCTGACAGTGGAAGCTCATGCCGCTCCCCAGATTTGAACCTGCAACCTTTCGGTCAACAAGCTCAGCAGCTCAGCACTTTAACCCACTGCGCCAGGGGTCTTACTGTAATATTAATCCCAGCATTCCTAGATTATAGAGAAGTCCCATCATCAATTATCTCCACTGAAAATATTCTCTATATAAACAGTGTGTATCTTCAAGTTGCCTGTTGATTTATGGAAATCACATGCATTTTATAATATTTTCTCAGAGTACTCAGAGGAGGTTCTAAAATATTGCTCACAGTGCTTGATACTGATTAGCAATTTCCCATCCAAATATTGAGGGTGACCCTGCTGAGCTTCAATTATCAGACAGGATCTGGTGCCTTCACAGTATTTGAACCTGTACAAGTCTTCATCTAAATATCGAGGAATATACATTTGTAGTTCTGGTAATATACCATTTTCTGTTTTGGCACCGTCACTTTGGAATTTGCTAAATAGACTTACCTGATGTCAACTTCAATATATTTTTGTGGCTAGATGAAAAAAAAGTCCTTTGGGGGATATGTTGACATTGATCTTCTAGACTGCTTTCTGACATTTTCATATATGTAGATCTGCATTTTATTCTGACATTTTATTCTTTTATTTAAAAATTGTACAATTTTAATGATTTCTCCCTATTTATAAGCTACTATGGCAGTATCTAATAAATGATCTTTTGAGAATACTGGGAAGACTCACACAGAAAGATTCCCAAACATCTAGTAAGTGGTGATGGAAAGAGTTACATTACTCAAGTAAGAGTGGATTGGTCTGTAAATCACCCAAGTAAAATGCTATTCCTGAATTCCAGGCCTTTTACTATGCCCCTGGCTATCCTTTACAATTGGTTAATAGCCTCACCTGGAATTTAGGGATGAAGGCGAGTAAAAAATGGGAGGACTTGAGAGACAGTTCATATAGGTTTCCATGTTGCTAAACAGGGGATTGATTCCTTTAGCAAAATCATCTATACGATATTCACTCTTAGCATTACTCAAGGGTGGCAGTAATTTGGTTTTATAACAATCTCTTTTAGACACTTACGTTGGTAAGAGAAGTAATTTATTCATGGGACTGTGAAGTTTTTGCATGGCATGTCACATTGGCCTGGAGCGACAACTAGAAGCAGCTATTTTCATGGCAAAGTGTGGGGAAGAAAAAAAATCAGTAACAGGCAGTGATGGGTCGAAAGGATCTTATGTCTGAAGAACATTAACAGGACTCATTATTATGAACTTTGCTGCATTTGTAAGAATCCCCTTCCATCCTTTTACCAATGACTTGTTCACTCTCAAAGCATGGTATGGGGCTGAATATAAATATCAGAACTGGGGAAAGCATCTAATATTCCCTATAAAGACTTTAGAGCATTCTTAAGTTTGGTAGGAACATGATCTTAAATAAAAGAAATACAGTAGAGTCTCCCTTATCTGACATAAACTGGCTGGCAGAGAGTCGGCTAAATGAAAATGTCGGATAATACGGAGTCTCCTACTGTTACCTGTCTGACGTGGCACTAGATACCTAGAATACTAACAACAGGGACTCAAAGGGTTAAGACAAGGCAACGCCTTGGGTCTTGAGCAACCCAGCAAGAAGTACCCAGATGCAGAAGAGGAGTGTGGAAATCACACTAGAAAGGAGGAGGGCACTTCTGCTTCTTTCCCCCTTTCCTCCCTCCTCCTCCTCCTCGTCTTGCCTTTTGCACTTTTTGGGAATGGAGAGAGAGTTGGGGAGAGCTCATGTAATTGAAGGTGAAATACTGGAGGAAAAGGGGGCATCGGATAAGAATGTTGAATAAGATGGAATGTCAGGTAAGCGAAGGTCGGATAAACGAGACTCTACTGTACACTTGAGGAACAGACTCTATGCTTTTTGTTCTTCATAAGGAGAGGGATTTATCTTCAATTGAACCACCATTGTAGATAGATGTCTGGAGGGCTTTCAAATGAAATAGAACAAAACAAAAAACTTAGCCAATGGTCCAGTTAGGATCTGGGATGAGAATTTGACTTAGCTGAACAATTATTTGATGTTTCCACAGCAATCCCTTTCCCTGGTAAAGGAGCCTGCCTGCTTTCTAAATTAGATTTTTAAATGGATAGAGAAGTGGAATATATAGAAAGGTTTCTTCAATTCTTCTCCCTTTTCTTTAACATCAAGACACACAGCAGAAGCCATTGATGCCCTCGCATTTTAAAAAATGTGTGCATGGAAGATCTCTTAATAGAATGTAGCCTTACAGATATAGGTTGTAAGGATAACAGAGGGAGTGTAGAAAAGAGACAATATCTCACAGTGCTGGAAAAGAGTTGATGTTCCTGAAAAGAGTCTGAAGCATCGTAGCCTGGAAATATTTTTTATGATCTTCTTCAGGGGACACCAGCTGTAAAATGGGTGGGGACAACTCCCCCCGCCCCCCATGGCAATGGACCTTCTGTGCATGCAGTTCATCCAACCATATGGAAAGATTGTGTCCTTCCATATGGTTGGATGAACTGCATCCACAGTGGCCAAGAATTTGGATCAAGGTCTATGGAAACTGTTGACTCAGACTGGCCAGACTGACATGTTGAAAACCTCTCACCATTCCTCATTGCTTGGGTAACCCTACAAGACCTAAAATATTGGAACTCCCAAGGAATGGCCTTGGCCCTGGTTACTGCTCCCAATGTCAGTCGTCCCGCCATGATTCCTGAATACAGCATTACAGGAGACATCTCACACATATTCGTGCTCATCTGAGAAGGGCAATGAACAGCTGCTCACATGCCATGATAGTCATTTGCAGTAAGGCAAACAGTGCCAAGAACAACTCCAGTGTCACCTCCATTTCTTTCTATGAATGTCTGTGAGGATGATCGGAATGGTGTAGAGAAGATATGTGAGGGCTAAGGGAACTACTCTGGTAGGTATTTATCCTCCCAGGTATACGGGCCATCCAATGGGAGCACAGATGGGTTTCTTTGAGTTTATGCAGAACTACATATATGAACATGCATGCTGTGGAGATCTAAAATACTCCAACATAGTAAGCACATGAACATGGTAAAATGCCCTTTTTGTATTGATGTGACCTTGGGTCTGTCAGCACCTGTCATCACATCATGGTCCAGATGTCACTGGGCAAACTGACCTTAATGTGAGCTTACTTATTAAACACTTGCCCTATTTGTATTATTGGAGGCCAAATAGCAGTGGTTGCATCACTTCCCTCTCTTCCCATCATGCATGAGAACATACATATTTCTGCTAAAGGTTTCTTTAGTGATGCTGTTATGTAGAGGTGCACTAATATTCAAATATGAGTATTCTGATCTGCGTACACATTCCTTTAAAAAGTATTAGTGGCGAATTTGAGATTGGAAATTTCCTGACTTGCTGGCAGCTATCACCTCCGAACTACCAATTTGTGTCTCTCCTAGCTCCAGTTCAAAGCCACTTGTTGGGGGTAACAACTTGAAAAAACCTCCAGAACGTATTCTGACCTTTGATCAGAATGTGGTGTCAAAGGCAATTCTTTGATGTGAGCTTACTTATTAAACACTTTAAGTCCCAAAGAACTGGTTGTAATATGATTCATCATGAATGTTGTGTATCAGAATAATGGCCAATATGAGTGAGTATGACCTTTTTTGTCCATGTAGGTACACAGGCCTTCAAGTGGGGAAAATGTGTAGCTGTCAATACCAAACTGAGTTTGGATCATAACAAGGAATTCTATTACCATGAGGCCACAACACAAGCCCCTTCTACAATGCCATATAAAATCCAGATTATTTGCTTTGAACTTGATTATATGGCAGTATAGATTCAAATAATCCAGTTCAAAACAGATAATGTGGATCATCTGCTTTTATAGTCTGGATTATATGGCTGTGTAGAAGGAACCACAGAAGGCCTACATCTTATGGTTTCAGATGAGTAAGTACTTGCAGATTTTTGTCTTGTCTTCACTAACCCTAAATCCTGAAGTGGCTCAGAAGTCATTCCTGGATGTCCAGATTATGCCCAGGAACTTTTGGTCCTTAATGTCCAGGACTTTTGGTCCTTAATGTAGGGTGAATCGATTTAGCCTGTTGTTTGTCTCCCTTGTGCAATAAAGTTCTAAATGAGAAAGTATTAGATAGAATTGTTTCAAAGAGTCGTTCTGTTAATCCAGATTTTTTAAAAAGTTTTTGAAAGATTGTAGTTTTATTTAAAGCATGTCCTAGATGTTGAAAACTATGTTTATTAGAACTGATTTTCAACTCCAAAATTAGTAAAAAAAATATTAAAAGAATGATATTTTCTTTCATTGATCTCACATTTAGAACAATCAAACTTACCAAGATATGAGGACACCTCGAGGTGAAGAAGAAATATAGGAGTCAGTGAGGAAGACATGGTTGTATCATTTCCTCTCCAGTGGATAGCATTCACAAGAAAGAAAGAAGCTGTTGTCAGCTTGACCCTCAGTTCCCATGGATATAGGCCTCCCTCTGAGGAAAGGAGAGAAAACAAGACTCCATTAATGCCAAGTCAGAGTTCCCTGCTCAAGTTGCAGTTCACCCAAGTGTGAAAATCTCTCCTGAAACTATCTCCTTTTGAAGCTAATAGCTGTGAGCTGAAGAGTGGCTAGAAAGTGAGAAGAACTTATTCCCTCCCACTTCAGTCTGGTTATGTTCTAACATGTTTTTTGCATAGCAGAGATCCAGGCAATGCGGGGCTGTCTTGGAGAATAGAACACAGAATAACACTCTGAACGAAAAGGTTAAAAACTTAGAGAGACTTCAAGGATTACATTTGTTATCTTCCACAAATTAAGCAATAAAAGACTACCAAAAACAAAACATTTGCTAATTAAGAATGGGGGGTGTAATATGTCGGAGGAAAATTCCCAGGATCCTCCATCTACTGGTCATGCTGATTGGGGATTCTGTGATTAGCATCCCCAAAAGTAATATTTTCACATTATTCAGGTCATTCAGAGGTATAATGTAGAAACTGGGTATCTTTTATCTGAAGGAGCCCCTGGTGGTGCAATGGGTCAAACCCTTGTGCTGGAAGGACTGCTGGCCAAAATGTTTTTGGTTCGATCTGGGGAGTGGAGTGAGCTCCCATCTGTCAGCTCCAGCTTCTCATGTGAGGACATGAGAGAAGCCTCCCACAGGATGGGAAAATATCTGCGTGTCCCTGGGCAATGTCCTTGCAGGTGAATTCTCTCACACCAGAAGTGACTTGGAGTTTCTCAAGTTGCTCCTGACACAAAGAAAAAAAAATCTGAAATGACTGGGAGCAGAAATGTTTAGAATTTGGACTTGCTCAGATTTTGGAAGACTTCCCTTTTGTTGATATCTCCACAATGAAATATCCTAGCAATGGGATTGAAGTCTAAACCCAAAATTAATTTATGATTTTGTATACAAAAAAGAGATAATTTTTTACAAATATTTTGTACATAAACCAAAGTTTGTGAAAGCAAAGGTGTCCCTATCTCAACCACACAAATGGATGATTTCAGATTTTGGAATATTTCAGATTTCAGAATTCTGGATAAGGACCATTCAACCTATATTTTGCTTACAGGTCTATCCACATTGTGTCAGACCATGATGTTGTTTATTGTTTATTGTTTGCATTTTCGGTTTGCGTTCAGTTGTGCTTTATTGTAATTGTTGTTCGGGCTTGGCCCCATGTAAGGCACCCCGAGTCCCCATTAGGGATATGGTGGCGGGGTACAAATAGGGATTATTACTATTATTATTATTATTATTATTATTATTATTATTATGTACTGACTATTATGCTGGGGAAAGTGGAAGGCAAAAGGAAGAGGGGCCGACCAAGGGCAAGATGGATGGATGGCATCCTTGAAGTGACTGGACTGACCTTGAGGGAGCTGGGGGTGGTAACGGCCGACAGGGAGCTCTGGCGTGGGCTGGTCCATGAGGTCACGAAGAGTCGGAGACGACTGAACGAATGAACAACAACAAACTGACTCTAAGCATGCCTTCCCACTTTAGTTTACTTCAATGCTATGGAGATGATGGACAAAATTCTATTAAATGTTAGGGATAGTCATGTTGGCCTTAACTCACATACTATATTGTGATGATGCCTTTATTAGGCCTCATGTAAGCGGCCCTGAGTCCCTGTTGGGGAGATGGCGGCGGAGTATTAAATAAAGTTTATTATTATATATTATAAGTGAAAAGAGGGAAAGCTCCTAGTCCCAACTGAATAAATAAATACATTTACCTATATGTTAGCTCAAGGTTCAACCATTGATTCAGTGTTCTTACTTTTGTCAGGTCAAGCCAAATAGATTCAATGTGAGGATACTTCTACTTTCGCCTTAAAAACATTCTAAACATTACCACCTCCTTCAGATAACATCTATCTTTTTTTGAATTTCTAGGTTTTCCAGCATGACTATATGGTCAACTTTCACTGGAAGCTGACCATAGAATCACACTGGAGGGTCTACCGATTCCCAGAGAGATGTTTTCCCTAGAAATTTCTAAGTCCTTCAGCATGACTTTATGGTCACACTGGAAGTCTAGAGATTCCTAGAGAGAACATTTTAATCAATTTCATGAATAATCAGATCCACAAAAGTCAAACTTACAAATATGGATGGCCAATTGTACTCACCATTGCATCATATACTATGTCAGCAGTTAGTAGTAGATCTCCCATTATTTAGCATGTATTTTGTGTATGTAATTGAATCACACTGCTTCTATGAGATCTGCTAGAGTGAGTGATGATTTTTTTAAAAATAGCAACATGTCATGTTACTCATCATTTTTCTCATCCTACCAATCTACCATTATTATTATTATTATTATTATTATTATTATTATTATTATTTTAAAACCCACTAATTTTAGAAATTTGAATACCAACTTAACGAGGAGGCTTAGTGATACACCATTTCCTACCAACTTGTACTGTACATAGCTAAGTTCTGCCATTGTGGAGACACAGAACCAGTTTCCCCTGAGCTCAGTCCAGAGACCTCATCATACAGATGCCCCCTTCCCCTACCTCTATTTGATTCTGTTTCGAAGGCAATCACCAGTGAAACAGAAGGCGCATGTGGCGCCTCATGGCGACCCACACACTCTACCTCCTTTCCCACATGGGGGCATCAGAGCAAGGCACACTGGGTCTCTGTTCCTGCCCCCCTCAGACAGGGGAAAGGGTGGCAACGCATGTTGCCCTTTCCTCCAGCAGACAGGGGAAAGGGGCCAAATCTGCAGGTAGCTCCATCAGAGCTATCCAAAACTTGCTTTATCTTTCATTGTTGGTGAGGAAGCATCTTGCAATGCTTCCTCACCACTTCAGCCATGAATGGGGTGGGACCATGGCCTGCATCATATGATGGTGCTCGGCAGACATCCTGGCTGAAGAGGACCAAAGAGCCCATTTCCCCTAGTGTAATGAGGTGGTAGGACAGAAAATGTACAATATATCCTTCCCCATATAACAAATGAAACAATTGTGGCAACTCTGATTCTACCGTGGATCATTGCTGAAAACCTGTATGCATTTTCTATTTGCTTGGAAAAAAAGACATGCAGTTTCCCACCTAGAAGCCATTGATTTCCTACAAAGAAAAGTGTTATCCACCAAAAAAGAGGTGTCTACAAAAGAGATAATTTCCCATGCAACCGACCCTCAGCTTCAGTATATCTGGTGCCAGTTATGTCTGAGAACAGATGGATCAATCTAGAGCTCTAGGGAAAGAATGGTTTCCATTTTGTCGTAACTGCCATTGGAGCAAGTTTAATCAGTAGATAATCAACGACTGTGTTCTATGGTAGTTTTCATCACTGTTAAGTGCACATTTTGAAGAGGCTTTGGCTTTCAGCTATATATTTTTGTAAGAGGGACAAAAACATTAACAATGGCCTTTCTTACTAAAATTGGGTGTTGAAAGTTACATTATAGGTTATATCTCAGAAATGATACTGTATTGTGGTTCTGGAAAGATATAGAATGAATTAATTGGGTAAAAGCTGATGAATCTTCACATATTTTTTTTTGTTAAAAAATCCGTACTCAAATGGCAGTCTTATTTATACATCAAGGACAGGTAACTGAGATTGGTTTGTGACTCCATTTTCTACCTTCAGCACCCCCTCCCAATAGCAAAAAAGCAATAGCACATTTTTGATGTTAAATAATATGGAAGGAGGGGTGACATGTATTAAGTGATAGTACAACACTTCACTGATGGTACAACTTCTGTTGATCTTGTTATTGTCATTGTTGTTGTTTTTTTAAATTTTGTCTTTCCCTGAATAATGGGACTCAAGGTGACTTAGTATAGATTTACCAATCCAAAACAATACAAAAACTTCAATGGAAGTATCCATAGAAAAGTTATTTAAAATCAAACCTTTTATAAAATTAAAAAAATTAAAATGCAAATACTATACAAAACGTACAACAGTAGAGCATCCCCTTAAAACAAGTGTCCATCCCAGTCAATTTCCAAAAGCCTAATGGCAGACTATTTTAACTTAGTTGGAGGAGAGCAAGGACAGGGCCATCCTGGACTTATTAGGAAGCTACTGGGAATAATAATAATAATAATAATAATAATAATAATAATAATAATAATAATAAATTTTATTTCTATTCCACCCTATCTCCCCAGGGTGACTCAGGGCAGATTCCAACATACAACATACAGCAAACATTCAATGCCTCCATAAAACAAACAAATACTGACATAAATTCCCAGAAAAATACCCACATATGAAAACAATATAAACAGGGAAGGCCCTGTCCTTTGTTCCCACAAAATGATTCTGAGGATTTATCAATTTGTATATAGTGAAAGGAATTGATTGAAAAAATTTAAGTCACTACCAGAAGAGCAGTCTCCAAAAACAGATGCCTGCCAAAGTGGGAAGTCCTCATAAAACACTATTCTCGTCCTAACATAACTGCAACCCTCTGAGCCAATACACTTGGGGACTTCAGTCAGCGTCCACAACCATTGTAAAAAGATATTAAATATGAATAAAAGGGTTTTGTAATCATTTCAGAATGTGTTAAGGGTAAAATGTATATGCTCACATTGCTGTTGACGTCCAGCTTTTCTAACGACAGCCAAATAAGCTGATCTTACTTCTGTTTTCAGGTGTGATTCCAATGTTATTCCTCAAGATTGAAACCCTTCCTATGTCACTGAAACATAGTACCCAGAATCCTAAACCCACATAATCAATGCCAAGGAATTGTAGAAGCTGTAGCCCAGCGGTCCTCAAACTAAGGCCCAGGGGGCGGATGCGGCCCTCCAAGGTCATTTACCCGGCCCTCGCTCAGGGTCAACCTAAGTCTGAAATGATTTGAAAGCACACAACAACAATCCTATCTCATCAGCCATAAGTAGGCCATTGAAATATTAATAATTTTATATTTGTTAAAATTGCTCTTCATTTTAATTATTGTATTTTTTGCACTACACATAAAATATGTGCAGTGTGCATAGGGATTCGTTCATGTTTTTTTTCAAATTATAATCCGGCCCTCCAACAGTTTGAGGGACTGTGACCTGGCCCTCTGTTTAAAA